TGTTGATGGGACAGACCACCAACGTTTTGTGGAAGAAAAACAATTTTAATTTGTAATATTTAAAAGTGAGCAAAGAAAATGTAATATTTAATTTGCTCACGTTTACTCCAAACAAACATTCCAATATATTAAACTGGGTATTGATGAGTGTAAAAAAATGGATTTTAGCTAAAGTTACTGCTTGAGGGAGGACCAAAAGACATCCTTGAACACAAGGAAAAAGAAGTAGTACACTCCCCTCGGCTTTGATGGCACGTTTCGGTAAAATGACTGCAGTATTTGTACAGGCTACACTTGTAAATGGCAGCCTGTTTCACAGGAAATAAATTACGCTGGACACATTTAGCAGCTCACATCTGTGCTCACTCTCCATTTAATTACCCGCTATAGACGGCAAGGTCTGGGTGCCACAACCTGTCATCGCTGCCACACTGGCACAACAGTAAAACTGGTTAAGTGGAAACACTTACACACATGTGATTAATAAATATATAAATGAATAAAAAAGAGCATAACTGAGCTATACTTTTTTTTTTTTAACACCCTCTCCTTAGGGATTCTTCACCGAGTCCCTTATGATGTATATCCAAGGGGCTTTGCAGGAGGGTCCTAATGAACTGCTATGCCTAGCCTTGCCAACCAGGTGCTGCCGGAGCTCCACATGAGCCAAATCAAACACACCTTCAGCGACGGCCAAGGCCATGTGTTTGAGCCCTTCCTCTGATTTCCACCTGCTAAGGGCTGATATGTGGACTTTAAAACCCCACCAGACAGAGGAAATCTAAGAAATGTTTACTCTTTATTTGAGTTTTGAGTTAAGAAATTAAACTTACCATTCTTAAACACTTGATTCTGGGACAGATCTTGTGACATGGTAACTACTACACTGTAAAAGGCAACCACACAAGTTCACAAAGAGAAACTGAGGCAATAATAACGCTGTTCCTGTTTTTGGTAAATACAGTTCTTTTCTTCTGTGTAACTTGTAAACTGAGTCAAAACCTACGCAAATTAGCCATACTAACCTCCCTACTTTCTTATCTACAGTGCTCTTATTCAGTTACTTCTCTCTGCATTTGAATAGCTAATATAACTGTATGTAGGTCCTTGTTGTTGTCGAGGACTGTTTATGAAACTCACCCGAGAGAGAAAGCGTCTTTGGCCTTAAATTTGCTCCCAAATAAATGACCTGTAGCTGAAAGATTGATAAAAGATGAAAAAGCCATTTGAGTAAATTCTGAAACAAGGCTACTATTGTATAAAGTGGAGAGATGACAAGCTGAGCATGCTGAAGTACAGGTTTTGCCTCAGAGTTGGCACACAGGAGGAAAAAGAACACTTCCATCCAGTCTTACTCAGATTAGAAAATTAGGGTGAGAGGTGGGGGTAATGTGGGGGTTTACCGGCAGGGCTGCGTTGATTAGAAAGGGGGTAGTGTTCCTAGTGAAGCAGAGCAGCCGTATTCAGTAACAGCACCACTTTCTTTAGCCAAAGCCAACATCTGCTGCCGACTCTACTTCCCTTTAAACTCATTGTCGGATTTCTCAAGGCCTTAAAATCCTGCTTGGAACCGGTTTGGACAGGGATGTAAAGATGAGAAAATGCTGTGAAAGTATAATTTTGTGTTATTAAATCCAAATCTTTTAGGGTGGGTCTGCTATTGATTTACTCTTTACGTGACAGAGAGGCAAAAACCGCAGAAGCAAGACAGGAGCTGAAAACTACCTGTACCAGCAAAAGCTACCATTGCTATTTATAACCTTATGAATGATTTTCTCCAGATTAAGCTAAGAAATCCTTAAAGAAACTGGATTCTGTTTTATGGCTCCACTGTTAATTACGGGGTAGGAAAATGAAGTGTTGTTAAATTTATGATACTTCACAGCACTTTGCTCACATCCTCTGGAAGAAATTGGCAAATTAGGAGGGTAATGAACAGCCAATGAACACAATTGAATCTCAGTCTGAGAAATTCCCATGTAGCAGATTTAAAGGTTGTTACCACATAACAAGCTTAATTGGTTAATCAATAACTAAAATAGTGAAATAAGTGTCTGAGAATGTGAAATGTAACTCCCACAGCAACAACTCAGAACGAGTGGTTTCTTAAAGCAGAGTGACCTTTTTTAACATGCCTGAAATGACCGCTTACTGGAAATAGACAGCTGCGGTTTACGAGGATATTAAGAAATTCCATTTTTATTTACATTTTTTAAAAACACGAGCCTAACGTAAGTTAAAACAAACAAATAACTTTAAAAATAACCTCCAGAAACCGAGCACGATGTTTATTCAGGGTCCGTGATATTCTATTACTGGTGCATTGTAAGGTTACTCATTCTGTAAATACTGTCATCAAACCATTTTGTGGCTTAGCCTTGCATTCGTGGTGAAATTATTTTGGCAATATGACAATCCACAAAAGAAAGAGCAAATGTGGGAGGCGAGCAAGAATATATCTGTGGTATTGGCCTATCACAGTCCTTTTAGACTTCAGAGTCTGTCGGGTCTCTGGGGACGTGGCTCTGTTAATATTTGTGGATGTGATAGACGT